AGAATGAAGTTGCAGTAATAAGAGAATGAAGTCGCAGTAATAAGAGAATGAAGTCACAGTAATAAGAGGATGAAGTCGCAGTAATAAGAGAATGAAGTCGCAGTAATAAGAGAATGAAGTCGCAGTAATAAGAGAATGAAGTCGCAGTAATAAGAGAATGAAGTCGCAGCAATAAGAGAATGAAGTCGCAGCATTAACATAATGAAGTCACAGCGATAAGAGAATGAAGTCGCAGCAATAAGAGAATGAAGTTGCAGTAATAAGAGAATGTAGTCGCAGCGATAAGAGAATGTAGTCGCAGCGATAAGAGAATGTAGTCGCAGCGATAAGAGAATGAAGTCGCAGCGATAAGAGAATGAAGTCGCAGCGATAAGAGAATGAAGTCGCATTAAGAAGTGAATGAAGTCGCATTAAGAAGTGAATGAAGTCGCATTAAGAAGTGAATGAAGTCGCATTAATAAGAGAATGAAGTCGCATTAATAAGAGAATGAAGTCGCAGTAATAAGAGAATGAAGTCGCAGTAATAAGAGAATGAAGTCGCAGCATTAACATAGAGAAGTCGCAGTGATAAGAGAATGAAGTCGCAGTAATAAGAGAATGAAGTCGCAGTAATAAGAGAATGAAGTCGCAGCATTAACATAGANAATGAAGTCGCAGCATTAACATAATGAAGTCGCAGCATTAACATAATGAAGTCGCAGCATTAACGTAAGGAAGTCGCAGCGTTAACATAATGAAGTCGCAGCATTAACATAATGAAGTCGCAGCATTAACATAATGAAGTCGCAGCATTAACATAATGAAGTCGCAGCATTAACATAATGAAGTCGCAGCATTAACATAATGAAGTTGCAGCATTAACATAAAGAAGTCGCATTAATAAGAGAATGAAGTCGCAGTAATAAGAGAATGAAGTTGCAGTAATAAGAGAATGAAGTTGCAGTAATAAGAGAATGAAGTTGCAGTAGCATGAGAATGAAGTCGCAGTAATAAGCGAACTCCTACATGAAAAAGCAGTCTTGCCACTGCCTTAAAATACATAATGTTGAACGTCTTGTAAGTTATACTTTGGTAATTTTGATGCCTTCAAGATTTTGGCTCCAGAGGGAGTGCAGTACAATAGCTGCAGGGGCTGCAACGTGCTGTGGCTTATGAATTCATATGATAAACTGAAGCCATATTCAATTAATGGCTGCATTGATGGATTTAGTCGTCACATCATGTGGATGGAAGCACATTACACTAACAGTGACCCAAAAGTAATTTAGGCCTATTTCATAAACAGTGACATCAGCCCCAGCAACAAAAACCTTTAGTCTGACTCCATTGTAGTAAACATTTAAAATGTAAAGCTTGGAAATAAAAGTTGTGAGGTGCACAGACGGTGATGAAATTCACACTTTGGTGCTCAAGTCGATGGTTAAAATAACGCGTCTTTCTTTGCTTTCAGGTCTTCATGCTGGCGCTGACTTTCCTCGTTCTCTTCCTGGGAAATTTTCTCACCACGTTAAAAGTCGTCCACCAAAAAGTTCAAAAGCACGACGGCGTGCAAAAGAGCGACTGAACATACCTCAGCTCGACGCCGACACTTCGGGAGGCCAGTGATCGTAAACCAAAACACGCACAATCGCTTGACACACTGACCACAGAATGACGGGGCCGAGAGAGGGCGGAGCTCGAACCGCAGCTTCTCTCGGGCTTCGACGACGACCGCTGCAGCAGCAGCAGCGTCCAGCCAAAGTTTCTCTCAAGCCTGCTCTTACTTTCTGTTGACTTTGTGTTGCTTTGTGAGCTTTCACCAGAGATGAGCAGTTTGTTGCTTTAACCCGTGTGGAGAATGGTGTTCGTGTCAGTTTCAGAGTCTTTGTTCAAATCATATGCAATTAAAGGAGGACAGGTAGCAGAACAGAACATTGTTTGCCTTTCAATACCTCATGTCTGTAGTGTGCATACTTCTGTGAAGTAGCAACTGTCAAACTGGCTTCGGTTCATTTCATTATATTTTGTTTGTTTGAACTTCCATATGTTAATTACAAGCTGGCATTGCTGGAGATATGGTCTAACAAATGACTTAAGTTTGGTCCACAGCTGTAAAAAAGCACTGATAATTGTCTAGTTGAAGGGAAATAACAAATTTAAACAATTATTTATTTTCTGTCTACAGTCAAAGTTTTGTTCTTCAAAAAAAAAAAACTTGGACAAAAAGGGAATCCAACGGCGTTTTCTCCTATCAGGTAGAGATTTTAAAAAGCCATAATTATTTTGCACATCTGTCAAAAATAACAAGATTATGCATAAAAGAAATGTAGCAAGTTTTTTTCTTGTGAACTCCTGTTACTAAAGGTAGTATCTCACAGGTGTTATGGAAGCTGTTCACACAAATATAACAAAAATGGTTTCAATTTGGGACTGCAACTGTGTATTTTCTTGAAATTATGAGTCAAACCAGTGAGATGCTACCTTGAACTGAACTGCATTAAACAGATTGTCACAGTCATGGGTTTAATGTTTCTACTGAAGGAGAAGCTGTGAGATGATTTACCACTAATTATAAATTTAAACATTTCACACAGTATTTTGTCATTACTGTGCAGCGTTATTGTTTGTTACATGATGTTGCTAAAATGCTGCTCATGGCAAAGTCACTGTAAGACAAGAAAAGCTTAAAGTCCTGTTATTTTTCTAATTCCAATCAACACGCCAGTATACTTTATTATTAAACCTTTGTATATTTAACTAAATGTTTACTGTCGTTTTTTACACAGACTCTGGTTTTATGCATTATCATATAGGAATCAGAAAATAAAGGCACTTATCTTTTATTGAGGGAGATTTTATGCATGTTTTAAAAAAAATCTGTATAAAAGCTGCCAGAATGCACATAATTCAGTTCATTTCAGACTTCTGAAGGTGCCTGGAGGGGTCAGTAACAGTACTTAGATTTTTTTTTTTTTTTCCAATATTTGAACAAATATTTTAAAAATGGAAAAAGCAAGCCTTGATAAAAACACATGCAAATGTTGCATGTGCATTTTCAGATTTAAATGTAAATGTATTTTGACACAAAGAGCAGCCGGTGTGCTAATTTTCCACCTCTAGTGGGCGCTGTTGGTAAAGCTAAGAGTCCTCTAAGCCTCACAAAGACAATGTTTTTTGTTACACAGGAACACTGCACCGTTTACAAGCTGTTGTGCTTTCGATATGTTTAAACGAGGTTCTTCATACTAAAAATTCACAAACCACAAAATCTATTTTCTCCGATAAATAAATGTTTCAGAAAGACAACCTGCTGTCATCCACATACAGTGCAAAATACTTTAAAAAAAAACTAGATAAAAGTGACGTTCAGGAGCTGACAGGAAGCTGCATGCAACTTGCACAAGTGTCTTTCCTGTTGCTTCATTTTGTTGCACCGTTCAGGGAAGACTGGCTGATGTCTCAGCGGGGACCCAAAGGTTCCTCATCCAGTTCTTATCTGTGTGGGTGAGCACAACCGCTCCAGATGTGTGTGGGGGGGTCTTTACAGAACGACGCATTTCTTCTTCCGCTTGTGGTTCTTCTGTTTGCGTCTGAAGGCCAGAGCTGTTTTTGTCGCCTCCCGGAAAACGTCCTCCACGTTCTCCTGGTATTTAGCCGAGCACTCGAGGTAGAGCTCCGCGTTCATCTCCTGCCGGGTCTGCTCACCCTAACACCCAAAAGACACCCAGCAAACTTATCGTGAGGGGGGGTTTGAACTGGAAAAACATTCTTTGAGTGTGTTTTTGTTTTGATGCTTCCTCGTTCTTCAGAGAGAGTAAACGTGTGCGCTAACTGTTTTCTTACCTGGATGTAGGTCACTGGAGCCAGATTCAAAGCCTTCAGCCTCCTCGTGCCCTCCTTATCCTTCCTGAGGTCAGTCTTGCAGCCAATCAGGATCACCGGCGTCTCCCCGCAGAAGTGCCTCACCTCTGGGTGCCACTGGGTAAACAACAGGTTTTAAGAAACAATGGGCCTCCCCTGTTTTTACTGTTGGGCTTGATTGAATTATCTGATTACAGTTGTCTGTTTGTTTTTGCACCGGGTCACAATCATTCACAACGCCTCACTCAGCGCAGCAGTTAATGGCAGCCGGCCTGCCAGACTCTGTCAATCATTCACATGTCGGACTTGAAAAGGCAAACCTGAAATTCCACTTGGCTGCAAAGAAATGCCCCGACTCCTTTTTGTGACGTGTTTGACTGAACACAAAGCGCGGGACAGGCGTGTACCTTTATAGAAACATTCTCAAAGCTGGTGGGGTTGGTGACGTCGAAGCAGACCAGAACCAGGTCCGCTTCCTGGTAAGAAAGAGGCCTCAGTCTGTCGTAGTCGTCCTGTCCTGAACAGACAAAAGTGTTCACAAAAAAACAAACTTGACTAACACTTATAAATAATAAGACTGTTGCATAGATGAGTGTAAAGAGAATGTGACGAGGCTGCGGGCTGAACAGAAAAACCACATCCTGACTTCGGCTTCCCCCTCTGCTCGTGCAGAGCTGCATTTGTGCAAAAGATAAACGGACTGGCGTGGCTTTTCCTATAATAATTCGAAAAAAACTGTTCACTTAGCATGACTGTTATGTTTAACACCCCCAAAGAAATACTGCAGCAATTTTCTCATGTTAATTTCACTTAAACACCAGCTTTACGAAACTACAGGTCGTATTTTATTATTTGCCACAAATTAACACGTATCTGTAGCTGAACCCTGCCTGTTCAGGAGCTTTTGCACTGAAAAATGCACTAAAGATTGATAACTAATCTTGTGAAAGTGACGCATTCTAATTTGAACGTATTTTTGAGGGGAAAAAAAAGCTCATTTTTATTCCTCTAAATCAACTTGTGTCGGTTCCATCGTGTTTGGGTCGTAAATTATCAGTCGGTTCCTGAAAGACGATAGTCATGATGATAATCTGAAATAAACGTCAACCTTTTCAACTTCCCCTGCGTCTGTTAGGCTCGGAATGATAAGATGACTGAATTCACGGACTGGACGTTAGCGTAACTTATGATAAAAAATAAAAAAAGACTAAACTTTCACTTTCCAGTCAGTGTGAGCCGACTCTCCTTTTGCACCTCAGACCTGAAACGTTCAGCATGGATGTGTTTTGGTTCTTTGTTTGTTTGTTTGTTTGTTTGTTTGTTTCCTCGTTCTTACCAGCTGTGTCGTACAGGTTGAGTTTAAAGTCTTTTCCTCCCAGAGAGATGGTTTTGGCGTACTTTTCAAACACTGATGGAGCATATTTCTGTTTGGACACACAAGAGAAAGAAGAGGTGTCTGTCATCACAGAAGCACATTTCTTGCTGGTTTAAAGAGACATTTTGTGATGAGTTCAAGCATTAATTGAAAAATGATTGCACTTGTTCATAAGAAGTCACATCATGGGAGCTAATCTTACCTCTGGAAAATCTCCTTTGGCATAAACCATCAGAAGAGATGTTTTCCCGCAGCCTCCGTCTCCCACTATCACAATTTTAAGCTCCTCTGCCTGTTTTGTGTTGCCATGGCCGGGCCCGGCACCATTTTGTGTCATGTTTTTTCCTCTCTTTTTTTTTTTTGCCTCCAAAGTCAAACAGGTGCCAGGCAAGACAAGACAGAAGATGCTCCCCACCTTTCAGATTCAGGTATTATGAGCCGAAAAGTCTGAGAAACCTACATCTGGATTGTCTGAGATCTTTAAAACGCAACAAGAAAAGACTGGAACAGACAAGTCTCATGGTTTACCAGGTAACTCGGCGCTCACCGCTTCCTGTTCCTGTCAATCTGACGTCGTTTCCAGCTGAACCCCCTCCCCACACCCACACCCACACTTGTCTCGTCCCATCATCAAGGCTGCTCACTGAGGTGCACATGTGAAGCGAGTCCGACTGCTCCTACTTCCTCTTCTGCATGTGTTTGCTCATTTCATTGTCTGGGTGTGGGCTCACAGGAAAGAGACTGCCTCCTTAAAAGGGAGGGAGAGTGGGAGAAAACTTAACTTTTGAGTAGATTAAGCAGGTTTTAACACTAACAAGTCAAACCCCACCATCTGTGTAAAGTCGTGTGTAAAACCTGGAGATGCTCTGAGGACAATCGGACCACATAGACACTCTAGTTTGGGTCAAACACCTTTTTTCTACCAGCATTTATAGGTGTGTTCAGATTAGACCTTCATAATTAGTGTGAATGTTATTAAGCATTGCGTTTATAATTTTCTGTACTCCTTTCATACATATTTTGGCACTTTCTTCTATAATTTTTGTGCTATTTTAACAGTTCATATATTGAAATGTTCGTATCTGTCGCCAAATTCCAGCTATGACTCGTGGTATTTCAGCAACTTCAATCTATTTAGCTTTTTCATATTGAAACTGAAGGGAGCTGTCTTCAACATACTTTAAGCTCTTTAAAATGTGTGTCAATTTTTACATCACTTTTTACCTTTTGTGATGCTTCTTTGTGCTAATTTCAGCTTCTTTATAGCTAAGTGTAGCTTTTTTCTGCTAATGTCAGTTTTCTGTTAAGCTACTTTTTGCTATTTACTGTTGATTTCTTTTTTCTACATTCGTGTCGTATCCAGTTCGACATATTTTTGCTATTTCTCGACCGATTTTTCGCTTTTGTTTTCCAAGTTTAAGTTAAAGTCAGCTGTTCAAATTGAACTCACATCATCAGTTGTAATTTTCAGCTTGGCTTAAGCAGCTTTCAGCAAAAAAAAAAAAAAAAAAAAAAAAACAGTTCAACACACTCTGCATTTTGGCAGGAAATGCAAATTCTCCTGTTTGGATTTAAAATGATCCTCGCTCACGTCACTTCGGTCACATGAAGTGACTTCTCTCCTCCCATCCCTTGGTGCAAATAAGAGGCTGGAGCTCATCTGGCACCAAGATAAAAAAAATGGATATAACAATCAGTTCAGTGTCAAAACCAGGACGTACAGGCTGAACACATTATCACCGATTCTGATCTTTCAGAAGCAGCTAAAACAACAGAAATGGAATATATTTGCCTTGTTAATTCAGTGTTTTTTTTTACTTTCATTGACCTAAATTATCTAGTTTCTTTATACCAAAGATATAACATAAGAAGGTTTGTTTTAACCTAGTATAATAGTCAGCTCTAAGTGTGTGTAAGGACTGAGAAGACATTAAAAGACACTAATTGCTGCATTTGGAGCTTTTTATTGCCACAAAGATTCAATCTGAGGTAGGCGAAGTAAAAATTTAACATAATTACAAGATACAATTGATGTTCATTAGAAAATAATGACCAATTTCTGTTGTTTTTTGACCAGTTTAGGCATGCATGTCCTCATGTTTGTTCACATTATAAACTGTTCCCTGCATATTTGGCTTCATCTGGACAACTACAACATTTCAAGCTCCATTTAAAAAGGGGAAAACAACAAATACAGCACATAATTATTTATTCAGGCATCTCACGAATATAATTTACACATAATGACAAGTTAAATCACAAACCACACTATGTGGAGCATTTCACTACCAAAAAAAAATGTTTTAAATCAAAAGAAAATCAATACCATCCATCTGGAAAAGATAATCCTATAAAGAAAAAGTGGGTGTACACCCAAAACTGATGAGGTTCTCTATCAAAACAATGAGCTGTGGTGTCAAAAAGAAAACTAGGTTCCTGTCTAATAAAGATTAAAAACGTGCTTGTTTGACTTACAGAGTGAAAATGCGAAGGTTAACACAAAAGGTAAGCCTGTAAAAGAAAATCAGGTTTGTCCTACAGATTGTCCACTCGCATGTCAGTAAACAATGAGCAGATTGTTGAAATATTTGACGCCGTGGAGAGAGAAAGAGAGAGGCAGCTGTCCTGCGGAGGAAGAGGCCAATCCCATGTGTTGGAATATTCCAGTCTGTCAGCGGCGCAACCCACCCTGGAGGGTGGTTTTTTTTTTTTTTTAACTTTCTCTCTCCTGTAAATAAAAACCTATAAATAAATAACTTCACTGATGGATTTCTACTCAAAAAAAAAAAAAAAAAAAAACTACTAAAGTGGTATGTCCAAAGCGTCACACACATATGAGTCTGAGTCTGGGAAGATAAATGACAAACAGTAAAAGAGTGGTATCAGCAGCCTTCCTATCTCTCCTGTGTGAGCAGTAAAGTACAAAATCAGGCCTCTGTCACGCAGCCATTTTGTTTGCTCTGCTTATCTTCGAAAATAAATGCACGAATATACCCCTTTACGCGACTAGACCCTCCCACCTATATTTTGAGTCTTTCACTAGAAAAAAAAAAGAAAAAGAAAAACGAATCAAGCCATATTTGCTTGCACAATCCAGCTTCTTCAACAAGCCGATTTGTTCCGACAGCGCAGCCCGGAACGCGCATGCGCAGAAGCCCGAAGCAACCTTCACCCAGATACAGCGCGAAGCGCCTGCCGCAGCAGATTCCTGTTGACCTTATATGGCAGTGTGGGGGGGTCGCTGCAGCTCGCTCGCGCTCTCTTGGCAACCAGCCAGGGTTCTCGGATTACTGCGGCTGCAAAGACGAGTCACAGCATCGAGCAGGGGTTGTTTTTATTAAAGTTTCACCCTTCCTTCACACGCATCGCTAAACCATTTTCTCTCTCTTTCTCCTCCGTTTGTTTTATAAAACGCAACGACGCTCGTTGTTTCGACTCAGTGCTGAAAAAAACGCCGAGAAACTTCCTCGGTGACACAAACAAGGCGCTTTCCGGAGCCTCACCCAGTTATGGCGCAGCAACATTTCAGCACAGTGCTTCCCTTTGTCTGTAAGGAAGCCATTTTGAGACATCACTGCTGAGAGCAAGCACAGTCTGCTGATGGCTAGTTTGGAGAAAAAGGAGGCAGTGAAAATAAGATTTTCTCCCCATAAGTTTCATTTTGCTCCTTTAAGACTTGGATTACATGTTTTCAATGCTAACTGTAAGTTTATCATGTCCACATATATAAATATGGGTAGCAGTTATTTTTAACTAGGCAGTTTTTGTTAAAAAAATATTTTAGTGTTTTTTTTTTTGAGAAACCTACCCCTATATAAAACTGGCAAATTTAGGTGAAATAGCTCAAAAGTCGTTACCTTTCAAAAACACTTCCATGCAGGTTTTATATGATGTGGCTCAAAGAAATGTCGAAATGGACTGATCCTGTCTTCAAGAAGGGAAGAGATGGTTTGCATATTTGCCCACACAGATGCTTGAAGATGCATATTCGCTGCCTCAGAGGGAAGGCTACCACTTACCAGAAAAAAAACTTTAAAAAAATATCTATCAGTCGTTGCTAATGGGATTCCTTCCTTTACAGGAGACGCTCTCCCACCCTTTAATAAAGCCATTATTAGAGGAGCCGAAGATGGAGCAGAAAACAGTCCTGTCCCTGCGTTTAGGCCTATTTCAACAAAGTGCTGAGGTAAATATTTCCACGATGACAGTCTTCCCTCTTAAATTTGTGCTTTAAAGAGTTAAAACGATTTTTTTTAAAAGGCAGCTACCTGAAAAGGGAGCTCCTTTTTATTTAAATATACCCTTGAGGCAAGGTCAAGCTTTCCAGTTTGGACGAGATTAATGTTGAGTGGACAGGACGAAGCCCTAATCGTGCTTGATGTTGCCTCCACAGCTGCAGGACAGGGTAGGAGACAAGCCATCTTGCTGTTGTGGAGGAAAGTGTTTAGAGTCATTAATCAAAAGACATAAACAATTTAAAAAAGCACACTAAATTACTGTGAAAAAGGTCAAGTTATTCGTGGCCTGCTTTTGGAGCGAGTGGCATAAAAAATGTGTATGTCAACATGCAGTGAGCAAAGTAAAGTAACATTTATAAAAACTCAAGATAAACTGACAAGATATACTTTAATGACATTAACTGCATGCCTTACATTTTCACATTATCAAAAAAAAACTTTTAAATTATTATGAAAAAGAATTGGAACTTACTCATTGCAACTACAAAGGCCACAAGTGCAATGCCAACATTATGTCACTTTAACTCATTTCTTTTCCAAAAAAAAACGTGTTTATTCAACAGTTTGGTTTCTTTTTTTTTTACTTAAGAAATATAAATACTGTTATATATGGGTGTGCCATGACCTAGTTAAGACAAAGATGGTTTCCAGGCAGAGGAGGAAAAAAAAAAAAGGCTCAAAATGTCACAGAGGGCATCACATCCAGCACATTCTCTTCCATCTTCTCCATCCTTTAAAAGGAAGCAATCATAGATTTATCATAGTCCGTAAGAGATGAGGAAATCAAGTGTAAAGATCCCTTTTTGGAACAAAGGAAACCCATATAGGCCATTAAGTCCTGTTTAAGGAAAATGGCTGCTGAGAGCACTCAACCCCCTCTCCCTGCTCTGTGTTGAAGGACTCCTGAGCCGTGCCTCTAATAGCAGACGGTCCAAACGCCTGCCGCGCTCTGATTGGTCCGCCGAGCTGCCGCTGTTAACCAGCCAATTGCCCGAGCACTGCAAAAACAACAGGCAATGTCAAACAAAACCCACAGTTTGCTCGACAACAAGCACTCCACTCGAAAACAATACATTTAAAAATGGCCCACCTTTATATATATATATATTTTTTTTAAATAAAATATTAAAAATAAAAAGGAGAGTCATCGCAGTTACGTTGATCTGATCTGGGACCAAATGACAGAGAAAGAAAGAGAGAGAGAAACCTCCGCATTCCAACAGTTCTTCGCGTTAAATAGATCGCAACATTCAACACAAAATTTCTTACTTACATCAAATTATTATTATTTAAATTAGGAGATATATGCTATTTAGCATCTTGGCATTATTTACAAAATCACACCCGCACGTCTGCATATCTATATAAAAAAAACCTCAACCGAATCAGCTTTATTAGCTTTCAGAGGCAGTTAAGAAGATATAACTGCTCCCCGTGTCTATCTTGTTTGCTATTTAGGTAAATGCAGTCGGTAGTTTCCACACATTAAGAGAAATCTAGTCAGTAAACTGTCACCGGATCCAAAAAGACTATATGTTTTGATTAAACGTCGCGTTTAAAGCTCGTTGAAAATATTTACGGTGCACACGAGGCGCATTTTTTTGTGGAAATTAGGAGCAACTTTTTTGTAACGAAAGTGCGACGAGTACGCGGGGTGGGCAAGCCTAGCGGTGTATTGTAGGAGAGACAGCAGCTAGAGACCAGAGGCACACACACACACACACACATACACACAATATGTGCTGGCTCTCGCCGAAAAGGAGGCAGTATTCTTCAAGCTAAAACCATGTAATGTAAGCGGCGAAAGGAGAGCGATTTCATCTTTTCATCAATTAAGAAAGCAGTCGATCGGACGAACCATGTCCAAGCCGGGGGAGAGGAACAGATTGAACGAAGACCATGGCAGAAAGCAGAGTTCAAGTAAGCTTGCTGTTTTTTTTTTCCTCTTTTTCTCCAGCTCTCCTAATGCCTGTTTTTTTTTTTTTTTTTTTTTTTCCCGTGAGTGGGATATACGCTAGCTCCAATTTTCGCTTTCACGGGGTCCCCCGCTTCCCGTCTTCACCGCCGAACGGAGTCATGCATTTTTCCCAGTTTGTTTGAAAGTGTCGGGGTGGGGGGGGTGCTGGAGAACGGGACCGTGGTTAACGCTAGCTTCTGTCGCTCTCTCCCGCTGTCGTTTTCAGGTCTGGCGAACGGCATGGACAGTCATCCCGTCTGCGGCTCGGCGGAGAAGCGGAGTCACCACTGGAGAAGTTACAAGTTGATCATCGACCCGGCGCTGAAGAAGGGGTCGCACAAGCTGTACCGCTACGATGGGCAGACCTTCAGCATGCCAGTGAGTGCCGCCTTTTGACACACGGGGCTACAATAGTAACCGAGTAGCCGACCTCCATGATGAGCTTAGTGTTGCCCTGGCCGTCCGCGGGCATCCACATCTTCTGGAGGGCTTCGTTTTTTGAGCAGGACGCCTTTGCAACAAGTTAGCAGTGTGTGAACTTTGCAAACGGGATGGATAATAGGATTGGGTTTCTCTCCTCTTCTCTTCCACAGAACCCCGGGATACCACCGGTGAACACCGTCCGAGATCCGAGAATCGGCCGTCTCTGGACCAAGTACAAAGAGATAGACCTGCCGGTGCCTAAATTTAAGGTATCTACTGAGGCAGACATTACTCCATGTGGGAAAGAGGAGCTGTCAGAAGCTGCAGACACACCCCCCCTCCCTGTCATCTTTGGGATATTAGAAGTCAGAGGATCTGTTCATGCACATGTGCTTCAGCACTGCAACTTCTACTATCCTTATCTCCACTGTTACAGCTTAACCCCACACGGTGCATCATTAACCTGGCGGCACCTAACCCTAACCCCCTGTCGTTCTCCTCCCAGATCGACGAGTGTTACGTGGGCCCCGTGCCCCCGAAGGAGGTGACGTTCGCCCGGCTGAACGACAACATCAGGGAAGGGTTCCTCACGGACATGTGCAAAAAGTTCGGGGACATCGAGGAAGTGGAGATCCTGTACAACCCGAAAAACAAGAAGCACCTGGGAATAGCCAAGGTTGTTTTCGAGAACGTCAAGTCGGCCAAGGTGGCCGTGCAGTCGCTGCACAACACGTCTGTGATGGGAAACATCATCCACGTGGAGCTGGACCCGAAAGGTAAACAGTGATTCACTCATTCAGAGTGAAGACGCTCCGTTCACAGCCAGCTTTGTTATTAAACGCAGGCGTGTAGGTATCTTTGTTAAAAAACAGTTTAAAGTGTGTTTTCTTTCGCATGTTTTGAGATGACAGCAGTCACGTGTTTAAATTTTACGTGTGTTGCCCGGTAACGTGGGGTAATTGAATTTCATTGAAAATGAGCCTGTTCCCACAAGCTCAGAGCCGAGGGTGCTGTGTGGTCCCACTGTGCATAATTTCAGACCTGCAAACAAACAACCCGATCTGTCACAGCCCCCTCTACCTCACTTGGTTTCAGTTCAGACACTTAATTTTCCTAAAGAAGCATAAAATTGTGATTTATTGTTTGCTGTCAGTGATTTTGTTTGGATCTTGATAGATGTGAAATATCAGCTAGAAATGTTTTAATGTAGTATTATTTTTGCATCTGTGCTGATTTAATCAAAGCTGAAACACTTAAAATTATTTTACTTGAAGTGTTTACATCGATCACCCAAATACTACTCATGAATTAGTGGCAGTTTTTAATATTTTGTAATATATGCAGCCATGTTTTTGTTCCTATGTGCTTCACCTGCTAGAGCTGCCACGTTAAAGTTACTCATTGCAAACTATAAAATGAAACATTAAAAAAGGTCAACCTGAACTGCATCAAATAGTGTAGTTTGAAAGCTTCTCTTCAGGTACTTTTCCAGATATTGATGCAATTCTGAAATGCAGGTATGCACTCAGTGTAAACAACACACTCAGCTGAATCTTTAGAAAACCCCGTCAAAGCTCGAGTCTCATGATTGATTGATTTACATTAGGCTGGCTCAGAGAAGATGTTTTATGGAAATATAAAAGTGAATCTGCTGCTAAATGTGAAAGAAAAGGAGCGAAACGAGTCAGAAATAAATAGCTCAAGCTCAGCATTCAGATATAAGAAGGTTTTGGTAAACTTTTTCTAGACTGACAAGTTTATTGTTTCAACCTAGCCTATCTTTTAATTTGCACAGTTTATTCAATCAGTCTGAGAATAAATGTGTACCAATATATTTTCCCAGACTTCCTCGATCTTAAACAGCTCGTCCATGAACGTTTCTATAATTAACCTATTTTCAGTTTCTTTGGCTCTTTCTTTGTGTAAACAAACACACGTGGTTGTTGGCCGCTGTTCACGAAATTAGCTTTTTACTCTTCTTCAATTAAGGACACTTTAACATTTATTATAAGAGGAAATAAACATCCTTTGTTTCTTTCTTTCTTTGTTTTTTTTGACCAGTTTTTATGAGTGCCTTTTTAATCAATAAAAATATAACACACACAATGGCAGGCATTGATATAACAAGGTTTTCCAAGGTTCCTTTTTTTCAAATCCTCCACTGTTACTTTATGCTCATCTACCACCGAACAGGTTTTATTAGGTAAATAATTTAATATAACGTGCATTAAGGCTGCTTTCTCAAGCACAGATCAGATCCATTCATATTTCCTGCTCTGCAGGTGAGAATCGCCTCAGGTACTTCCAGCTCCTGATGAATGGCAGCTACACTCCACGGACGCTGCCTGTTGGAGGAGAGGAGACCCGAGAGGTTTCCCCTCTGAGCCTGGCAGAGGCATTACTGGTAAAGAAACAATAAACACTTACAGTATGCAAGATGTTGTTTTAAATCCCTCTAAACTGTGTCAAGAATTCAGTTCATGTTTGTGTATAGTTATTTTGGAAAGCAGTCTTGTTTTGCCGTTTTATAGAATCACTCAAGTACAACATTTTCTCAACTTGTCTGATCTTTAAAATGATTTCTTGGTGTGGAGTTGTGATGGTGAATTAAACTCTTAAAAATCCTTTGCAACATCCGTTTTTTGTTTTTATTTTTTGAGTTTAGTACAGTGAATTCATTGAGTTTATTTTAGGTTTGGTTGCTGTAATGTAAAGGATTTTGTTGTCATGTTGACTGATTTGTTTGCCTCTTCTTAGGCCTGCGAACCCATCCGCAGGTTGTCCGAGGGCAACGCCTCCTCTGCAGCTGGAGCTTTGCCACCCAGCAGCAGCTCTACAACTCCCCTCAGCATGGAGACGGGCTACTCCAGCCAGAGGCAGGACACCCCCCAGTCCCAGGGAACCCCTCATACCCCACGTCAGCCGGGCACACCCTTCTCTCAGGACTCCAGTTTTTCCAGCCGGCAGTCCACGCCTGCGTATCAGTCCAGCCGTCCTGAGAGCTCCGGAAGCTGCAAGTCTCGCAGACACGAGAGCAAAATCCAAAACACGTACAACCGCAGACCGGCGAGGCCGCAGTATCACAACATCACGTACAGGAGTACGCCGTCTGAACAGAACTCTTTGAGGCAGCACCAGCTCACCCCACCTGAACCCCCACCTTCCACCCCTATCTTCAGCTACACTGCACCTCCTCCTGCTACGCCGAACTTCAAGTCTGCCTTCTCACCGTATCAGACTCCTTTGCCTCCCGCCTTCCCTCCAGCCGAGTCCCCTTTCCATCACCCAGCCCAAAGGGAGGGCGAGTACCTCCGACCACCGCAGCCGCCACTAGCGGCTCCCACGGACTTTTTACCAATCAAGGATAGACCGGAAACTCCTCCTACCCCCAAGCAACCACCAGAACCCCTTCCCCATCCAACTACCCCTCCTCCTCAGACACCAGAGGGCTGCCCTTCGCCAGGCTCTCCGGTGCTGGACTCGGAACGGAACAGTTTGGACTCGCGCATCGAGATGCTCCTCAAGGAGAAACAGACAAAGTTGCTGCCCTTCCTGAACGATCGGGACTCGGACAATGAGGTGCGAATGGAGGGAAGTCCTATTTCCTCCTCGTCCTCTCAGCTATCCCCAATCCCACCTTACACGAGTGGCTCGCAAGGCGGCCAGCAGAATTCCCGTCCCCCCAGCACAGGCTTAGAGGATATCAGTCCAACCCCACTGCCAGACTCGGACGATGAAGATCCAGTTCCTGGAACTGCCTCGTTGATCAGAAGAGCCGGTTCTCCTGTCCATGAGAAGAACAAAAGTGACCTCAAAGATGGCTCTTTTCGATGCCCCACTCCCCCAGATAAAACAGACACGGTAAGACTAAAACTGCATGATGCTTTTTCACAAGAATCAACACAGTGTTTGCAATTCCTATATTTCTTTTTTTACCACAACCTGCTTTTAATAAAAGTCCCAAATAGTTGATAGCGGTATGGGTCTGATGTTTACGTGTGCAGGTGTGAATGACAGTTATACAGGGACACAGGAAGTCCGGTCTAGTTGTAGTAAAGCCTTTAGTGTCATTGTTTTTGTTCTGCCTTGCAAAGGAAACTCTGGTTTCACAGCAGCACGTGTTTCATGCCTCAAAATGTTTGTTCTTTAGCTCACTTCTGTCGAGTTGTGTATTTTTAAAACAAAATGTTTGAGACTCATTTCATGTGCAGATAGCAGCTGCCTACAAGTTAGTAATTCAAAGTTTTTGATGCTCAACTTACCGTCTTTACAGTATCTTCTTGTTGCAAGAACACTATCAGGCAGGTTAGGTTGTATTTCTACGTTTTACTCCATGTTTTGAACAGAGAAATAGGAGCCATTTGGCTGTTAAGGGAACAAAGTGCTTTGTTTCCTCTTTCTAACTCTCACTGCACTTGTTCACACACAGAGGAAAACACAGTTTGGCTGTTGGCCCCATTCAGCACCACACTTCCTGGTTTTAGCCGAGAATGACTGTCAGGATCGCCTCGCCGATCTCATATTTCAAGTTATCACAAAGCAAACAGAGCAAACAGGTCATTTGGGTAACAAGGCCACTCCCCTGGCAAGTTTAGTCAGTTTACCTTCATCTCTGCAGCACTCGTCACAAACCCTTTAGTAATATTTAACTACAGTAGAAGTCAGATCATTGAGAAACAACATGATTGGTGTTTAAATGTGGCAGTTGTAGTGTCTGCTGTACCTTTTGAAGGATATGAACACATTGTTCTGTTTGGAAACGTGCTGACCAGAACCACAGATCAATTGTGATTAACTGTGCCGATGAGGAAATTAAACTTAAAACGTAGATCAGATCTAGAGTCTTTGTTGCTTTTATTTTGAAGGAGTGTGTTTTTAGTGGATTTTTGTATTTTGATAGTGAATTAAATAATCAAAAGGGATTTTCAAACTGATCTTTCAAAGCTGCTTAGAAATAACATTTGACAACTTAATCTTTAGAAAGTGTTGTTTTGTTTTGTGGTGAAGACAGAAGGGCAGATAAAGACATTTTATGGTCCAGTGGCTTTGTGTTTATGATCTTCTGACCTGATCTCAGAAACCTTGAACATGGATCACATTTGCTCAGGTGGCTGAGATCTATACAGAGAGGTGATGATTATGCAGATTGTGTTCGGTCTTGACAAGTCGTCTCTTTTCAAACAGGCTCATCAGTCGTCTGGAGAAGACATGGAAATCTCTGACGATGAGATGCCCGGAGCTCCAATCACCAGTGGAGATTGTGACCTTGTAAACGCTGACATGTCCACCATGCAGACCATGTCCATGCACGCTGCTGGTTTCCACCACTTACTACCTATGTCTCAACACCACCTTACTCCTCACTCCACCATCTCGGGACATCCCGCTCACCACCACGGCGTTCCTCCGCACATGCTGCCCATGAGCCCCTACGCCCCGAGCCTCCTGCAGATGATGGGTCTGATGAGCTGTGTGCCATGGGAGCGGTGGAGCACGGTTCCCATGTCCTTCCAGATGCAGCAGCAGATGCTGAGCCGTATGGCCCAGACCAGAGGGCCCTATCAGTATCCCCATTTCATGGACGGTTGCACATCTGGGCTGTTCGGGGGACACTATGTGCCTCTTTCAATGGAGGCTGCACCCGCTTGTAGCACAGGAGCACCTGGGCATGAGTGGAACCATCCCAGTGTACCCACATTCAACCCCACTGTTCCTCCTCCGGGGTATGACTCTAAAAAAGAGGATCCTCACAGGGCCACTGTGGAGGGAGTGCTGCAGGTCATCGTCAAAGAGCTGAAGGCCATCATGAAGAGGGACCTCAATCGCAAAATGGTAGAGGTGGTGGCTTTCAGGGCTTTCGATGAGTGGTGGGAAAAGAAGGAACATTCTGCAAAGGTAAGCGAGACATTTCATCAGACTCTAAATAAAGCAGATAAAGCTTCTTAGCTGACAGTTGGTTCTTTAATATATGTTACGTATATCGCAGATTTCAGTTGTTTTAATTATAAAATAATTTTTATAAATAAATAAAAGCTTTCTGCAGGTGTTGACCTTATGTATTTGTTGCTGATTTGCCTCGCTGTGGTCCAGCTTGCATGCACAGCCAGGTGTTTTGAATGAACCTGTCATTGTGACGAGTGCCATAAAGGATTTATCTGATCTGACTCTCAGCTTGATGTTTATGTAAATGAAAATATTGCTGAAAAAAAATGGCAATTTGTTTCTGTAAAGTCAACAACTTTGCTGATAAATTACCTAAATAATGTCACAGTAAAATACCTGTTGATCATTTGTTTGTTACAGGTTGTCAAAAAAAATTTGTTTTAAGCTTTGTTGTTGGTCTGTTGATTAAACACACACCGCTGAGGAGTTTTTCACCACTTTGATATTTTATTAAGTACAAATGAAGAATATATATAATTCCTCTTGAATGCTCTATCAGGGCTTATTGTAAAAACTAAGCATTGTTTTGTTCTTTAGGCGTCGTTGACTCCAGTGAAGGGTGCTGAAGGAAAGGAAGAAGAAAAACCAAAACCAAAGGAGACGCTGACTTCCAGTCTGCTTGAGAACTGGAATAAGGGCGAGGGGCTCGGTTTTGAAGGGATGGGTCTGGGAATCGGATTGCGAGGAGCCATCCGATTGCCTTCCTTTAAGGTAAGAAACTTTGAAACCAGATTTTCTTGTAGTTGCACAGTGTCTGCACCATGTTTGGGATTTATTGGTGCTAAAAGGTTGGATGTTGTGCTCAGGTTAAAAGAAAAGATCCACCCGAGTCTACAGTGGCAGGAGACAACAAACGAGCACGACCGTCCACTCCGGTGGATGACGAGCTGGAGGATGAAGGTAACTGTTATAACTGTTAGTTGAAATTACAAGCTTAGCTCTAATATATATATATATATATATATATATATATATATATATATAAAATTTCGCGATTTTCTGTTGTTAAATTGCCATCAGACCGAGATCGAGATTCCGTTGAGCTCCGCTCGGGCGATCCTAAAGCGGATGGCGACAGCATGTCAGCAAAGCGACGACGCTCACGACCACTTGAGCTGGACAGCGAGGGAGAAGAGGAGATGGACACCTCCGAGAAGGAGGAGGAGGAGGAGTCTGACAGGGAGGAAGAGCCTGGTGAGAAGAAGGACATAGACAGACTGTCATCAGTCAAGGTAAGACCTGTCAAAGAACACTGGTTACAAGTAAAGAAGATACAAAAGGTTTTTCATTTTTTATTAATGGGTCAACTCGTCTCACAGGAGAGCGACAACGAGGAAGGAGATGCTGAAGATAAAGACTCCTCCAGTGCCAGCACCTCCTCTGATTCCTCTGATGATGGTACCTCTCTGTCTGACAGGAGTGTTGGTTCCTCGTGTTTCCTGTCCATTTTCACTCCTCGTCTCCTCTTTTCCTGCAGAAGCCGAGAGCTCGGCTTCCTCCAAGGTCAGCTCCGACTCGTCGGCGGAGAGCTCCGACTCCTCGGTGGAAAGCTCCGACTCCGAGTACGAGTTGAGCTCCGAGGAGGAAGACGAGGAGGAAGAAGAGATGGCTGCTGACGACGAGATGTACGGCAAAGAGGCAGTGACCTCTTCATCTTCCTCATCCTCGTCATCCTCTTCGTCATCCTCCGATGAGGCAGACAAGGAGGTGGACAGTAAACCACCAAGTCCTCCCACCGCACCGGTCAAGGAGGAGCTGACGGATGAGGAAGAGCTGAGCATCAAACCCAAATACGAACCTCACAGTCCTGTGGAGGTAGACCGGAAGCCCCTGTCTCCAAGATCTGTTCCAGGTGAGATCCTGCACCCAGTTTTTTTTACAGCAACTTAACTAATAAAACTAAAAATAAAATGTATTTTTTTGTGTTTATTTTAGTTAAAGAGGAAAAGATCCAAGCTGACAGCAACATCCCTGTAGTCAAACCTGAACCTCAGGAGTACGTAACAAACCTCCGGCCCCCGACTCCCACCGGAGCCCTGCCTGACAGCGACCAGGAAACAAGAACCAAAGGTAAAGCCGAGTCTCAAGAAGTCCCCTGCACCCCTGCGGGATTAGTCCCCTCCCATCCGAACGCACCCGCCCCCAAATCCGTCTCCTCGTCCTTAATGCACCTTCCCCTCCCTCCTCACCCTACAGTAGACGGTCGTTCCCTCCTCCACCCTCCCCCCGGCCCCCTCCCCGACCTCCCCCAGCGGCCGAGGCTCCCCACGGACGAGGACATCCCTCGAACGCCGGGCAGGGACCTGATGGAGCGCGCCCGGAGCCTGGGCAAGTCTCAGAGTACCGACACGGTGCCCAACACGCCCGGCAGCGACGGTCCTTTGACGGGCAGCAGCCTGTTGCTCAGCTCCCCTCACATTCCCGGCAGCCCCTTCTCCTACCCTTCACAGTCCCCTGTCCTCAGCGCAGGAGTCCCTCGTACCCCAGGAAGAGACTTGACGTTCACCCCCGTCTTCCCTGACCCCGCAGCGCTCAGGCTAAACAGGAAGAGCCTCGAGGAAGGAGCAGTTTTCAAGGAGCCACCGGTCACGGCTCTGCCCAACCAAGTCCTGTCAGCCGCCACCGAGGACTCAGCCACCATACCTGAAGATCTCCCCGCTAAGCTCGCCGCAGACATCCCCGGCCTGTCAGACACCACCTCGTCAAAGAAAAAACCCGGGAGACCCAAAAAGATTCCAGCTGTCTCTTCAGCCGACGAGTCTTTTGAGCTGTCGTCTGAATCCACAGATCTGCGTCAGGAACGCCTTCCAGGAAGTCTATCCCTCCAGATGACGACGGTCACGTCCCCCGAACACACCGTCCTGGACGTCCGGGAAGGAGAAGACGAGCCTCAGACGCTGCTGCCTCCCGCAGACGGCTTCGTCTCCTACAAACAGGAGGAGCCGGTAGTTTCGAAGCCTCGGAGGACAAGGCGGCGAGGCTGGGAGGAACTGCTCCTGGACGGCCTGTCCCCCGTCACCACGCCGCCTCGGGCCTACTTCAGCCCGCGCTCCGAGTTCGAGGAGATGACCATCCTGTACGACATCTGGAACGAAGGCATCGATGAGGAGGACATACGACTACTGCAGATCACGTACGACAAGATGCTGCAGCAGGACATCTGCAGCGACTTCATCAACGACACGCTGTGGGTCAACCATCCTCATATCCTTCCTGTTTGTTTACACCACGCTGTAGGGAAAACACTGGTGTAAACATTGCTTTTTAAAACAAAGTTAGACAGCAACACCAGGCAGAAAAAGGGAGGTTTGTGTTTAAGAGTGGCGCCCTCTGCTGGTTGAAGTGAGGAACTGTTGGTTTGAAATTGAGTGTTGCATATGAGAATTTTTCCTTGACTTCCCTGCACCCACCAACATTCCCGGCGTGAAGAAAAAGAGGAAAGAAGACGGCATTCGGGATCACACGACAGGCTGTGCTCGAAGTGAGGGCTACTACAAAATCGACAAGAAGGACAAAGTCAAGTACCTGCAGAGCTCGCGGCTGCAGTCGGAGGAGCCACCGGTCGATACGCAGGTGAGTCGGGATGAGGATTATTTGTTCGGTTACACACTGGGCGTGTTCGTGGATTCTGAATTGTGTTGCGGGTGAATTTCCGGTCGTCTCCGCAGGGCATGAGTATTCCCGCACAGGTCCACGCCTCCACCAGATCTGGCTCGGAGCGGCGATCGGAGCAGCGGCGCTTGCTGTCGTCTTTCGCCTGCGACAGCGACCTGCTCAAGTTCAACCAGCTGAAGGTAAATCGTCCAATTTAAGCAACAGGTTCTTATAGAGTTAAAAAACCAGCAAACAAGAAGACTGGCAGTCAGTTTTAATAAAAAGACAATACGTTTGTTTTTGTAATGTTATCAACTTTTCTCTGTCTTACAGTTCCGTAAGAAAAAGATCCGATTCTGCAAATCGCACATCCACGACTGGGGTCTTTTCGCCATGGAGCCCATTGCTGCTGATGAAATGGTGATCGAGTACGTGGGACAGAACATCAGACAGGTGAGAGACAGCACAACAATTTACACATCGCTCGTTCTTCACCGTCTCCTGCCTCCTGTGCTCTGCAGCCAGACACTCCCTCTCCATCAGATAATCTGCTCTGTGTGGAGAATAACGTCTTGACCACGATATCTGTTGCTGTAGGCTTTCTGTACATTTTAAACATTTATTTTTGATTTTAACAACCGATGTTGAAAAACTGATGATTTTTCTATTTTCAATTTATACTCTTAAAACAGGAAAACGGCCCAATGTTTTATTATTCTCACAACAAAAGGAAGTTCAACACTGTTATCAAAACATTTAAGGTGGAGCTAGTTAAATAACTTTTCTATAACGTGGCTGCTTGTAAATTAATAAATAAATTAACACTAGCTAACTACTTTTGCATTTCTTTAAATGACTAATTGCAGACTGTATTATTTATTTATATAACTAGTCTAGCTAATTTGTTTGAAAAATTCCTGCTCCACCTTAAATAGTCTGATAACTGGACGAATAAGCATGTTTTACTTTCTAACTAGTCAACCAGGTAGACTCGATAAATAAACACTATGAAGTAGTTTTACATTTCTTTGTCAGCTGATAGTTCAGATATAACTGATGATTCGACGTGGTTTTAGCACCAGAAGCCTTTCTCCAACAAGTCCAGCAGCAGGTTCCTTGATAAGAGTTAAATTCTGATTTGACAAAAACAAAACAACTGATCATTTTTCTGTTTTTGGAGTATGAAATTAAAATAGAATACCCATCTGTTGTTTGTTTGTTTGTCAATATTTGTTGTTAAAATCAAAAATGAATGACCAAAAAGTATGCCAACCACATAGGAACATGACAGCAGTCTCTTGGAATTGAAATGTAAATAAATATTTGCATTAAAGGGAAAACTAGTCTGCAGAGAAACAGTTACACTATTAAATCTGTAGCTCTGGAAGTGAAAAAAAAACTATATTGGAGTTTTAAAAAAACTGTTTGCATCCTGTTGCTTTAAAGCTGCCCGATGCTTAGGATGCTTGTTTGTTTGCAGGTGATCGCGGACATGCGGGAGAAGCGCTACGAGGAGGAGGGCATCGGTAGCAGCTACATGTTCCGAGTGGACCACGACACCATCATCGACGCTACAAAGTGTGGCAACTTTGCCCGTTTCATCAACCACAGCTGCAATGTAAGGCAACTAAATCAACAAGCAAAAAATTGCAAGGTAACGATTGTTTCTCAACGTGACATTTTTGTTCCCTTCTCAGCCTAATTGTTATGCGAAAGTCATCACAGTGGAGTCTCAGAAGAAGATCGTGATCTACTCCAGACAGCCGATCAGCGTCAACGAGGAGATCACGTACGACTACAAGTTCCCCATCGAGGACGAGAAGATCCCGTGTTTGTGCGGCGCAGAGAACTGCAGAGGGACGCTCAATTAACGTCCGATTTGTGGTCAAACTCCCCCCGGCCAGGTGTGACGCTGTAAGTGTCCCGGACTCACACCGACCGGCTCTCCTCACGTACTAAACTCTAGATTGTTTACGATTTATGGTGCTCTTTGTACAAACCCCCCGAGACAAGTTCCCCACCCCCCACCGCCACATCTCAGTGTTCGAACAGTATTTCACTTCCTTTCCTTCTCTCATTCGTCTCATAAGCTTTCTCCACATCAAACGTGGAACAACACAAAACAAACTCCCGTGTTCAGCTGCTTACTAATGACGCACAACTCCTCGCTGTGTCCATCCAGCTGCAGGTTGGAAGACAGCGGAGCGACTCGCTGCTACCTCCGCTGCACCACCTGTTCGAGAAATCAAACTAACTAAACGCAAACAATTAAATCCTGCCACAAATAAAAACAACAACAATAAAAAATCTGGGCTCTTTAACTACTTCCACCAGCCAACGACGGATCATGCTGCTTCCTTTTAGTTCATGCAACAAAACAAAGAGGATCCTTATGACACTTTCATTATTTCATATTCTAGTGTTTTCATGCTCCTTTCTTTAGAAAAGACACTATAACTGTGTGTGTGCGTGTGTGAATGAGTATATGAGAATCAGCTGTCAGAATGGGAGTGCACTGCCCCCTGCTGGCTGTGATGCAGAACTAATCATGGAACATCCACTGAGCAGCAACAAGCTAATCTAAGCTATCAGGTTTAGAGGACATGAATATTGTTTTCATTTAAAGTGCCATACGAAGGTTTTTGTTCAACCCGAGGAGGCGGCTGTCCGCTCCTACGGTTTGTTTTGTTCAGACGGAAAAACATTGGAGATTCTTTGGTTTTCGTTGTTTTATTTTCTTTGTCACCACTGATGTTTATATTGTAAATGATAACTTGTACAGAAGATATAAAACTTTTTTATCCTCACACTTTTAAGATTTTTTTTAACAAAAAGACTGAATATTTAAAATATTTTCAGGGATCTGTCAACGAAATTGGATGTTTGTTTGTTTTTTTTTAATTTAAAGAAAGGAAGGGCCATGTCCGTACACGGGAAAAGTCTCCACTTCCCTTTTCGAAAAAGATTGTTTCTTGTGGAAACGTCTTCATTTTTCTTCTCTTTTTTTATTTGCTTTGAGATCCTAAAACGTGTAATTAGTCGAACTGTGAATACTATATAAATATATAAATATATTTTTGTTCCTGGGGATTTGCTACTTGAACTCTGCTCAGACGTTGTATGTATCGTAATGAGGTGAGCGCTGAGCTGGTAGCAGGAGATTCGGCTTGTGTCAAGCTCGTTCTGTTTTTTTAAAACATTTTGTGTTTGTAAATTCTATGAAAAAATTCTTTGCAGTGTGGAGAATCGGCGATGGAGAGAGGACTGAAGCGTCAGCCTGTTTCTCGTGTCTATTTATTATATGACAAATGTATGAAAGAGAAAACGAAAATGAAATAAAGACGTTTTGCATACATCAACAGTGTGGTGCTCACAGAGCGTCATGTAGTTTTTATTAGCCACGTTAACCTTTCTGCTACTGCCATTAACTAGCCTTTTGCTGCATTTATCTTTCACTTTTACTATTCTTTTTCTGCTGTTTAGCTAGTGTTTTGCTACGTTTTAGGTTTTAGCTACAAAATTGTTACTTTTAGCTAACGTTTTGCTACTTGTAATCAATTAGCTACTTAGTTTTTAGCTAGCTTTTTATTTTTAAATTTTAGGTAGTGTTTTGATACTTTTGTTTCTTGCTACTTTTTTTTAGGTCATAGTTACCAAAAATCTTCTAAAGCTGTTGGTAGGAAAGGATGCGACTGAACAGTTTTCAGCTGAGTCTGTCTGAGAGATTAAAATGTTTAAAAATAATCTGGTTGTAAATAATTAATCTGTGTCTGCAGCTGATGTAACAAAAATGTACAGCTTGATGTCATCTTCAGCCAGCTCTGAATTCATGGAGACGTGTGTGTGTGTGTGTGTGTGTGTGTGTGTGTGTGTGTGTGTGTGTGTGTGTGTGTGTGTGTGTGT